CATCATCATCCAACTTTGATGACAGACAAATCTGCTGACATCTGGTTAGATACCATACCTAACCTTAGGTGTTTCAACAGTCCCAGCTATCGAGACTAGAGCGCTGGACGTTTTTTATGCAAACAATCGATCGCAGTAACACCCGGTATTCTCTCCTCTTGCCTTTCAGCACCATAAGAGTTAGGACAAAAAAGTATTGATATCCGACGTACGTGAACCAACTTTACTGCGCACTCAAATGAAAATTCAACCAACCAATACATTTTTGAAGATTCCCATTGTAACATCTGAGAGCACACGAATTAGCGAACAAGCTCGTTTCTCAATAACGAGCTTGTTTGCTATTTCGTGTGTTCTGTTATTTTTTGTTTTCCACTGGAACATAATGTCCGCATTATGATAAGTTCAGTAGCTTCGGTGAGTTTCAAACCCACAACACACATGGACATAGCCAAAGATTCTTTCTGTATGGCGCACGCTCTACCAGCACTGAGCTGTGAGGTTACACAAATAGCACTGATCTGTTCACATTTTGTTTTCGTGTCCCAGACGATGAATGCTTAAACCCTATTTTTTATCACTACAGATTGCGAATCCCAGAAACGAAACAATCTCTACAACAAAATTAACTGGCTCCCTTCAAAAGAACACATTAATTCGTGTTGTCTGTTCGGGGAAACCAAAACACATAATTGTACTGCTCAAAAATAAGAAGTAGTCTCGACATTTCAAGTTCTTTGATCGAGGCAGTGTGCTCGGTGGATGTGGATACTAGGAACAAAGTGTTCAATAACCGCTAACTTTCAGTATCGACTGAAAGAAGCAACTGCATTCTGTTCGAGTGAGTAATATGCCTTCTTTCTGCAAATTAGGTCCCAGATTTAGTCCCTAGTTCGGTCGGCAGAATCGCACAGATGATGATATCTAGCACATTTGAATATTTGTAAACTGTGTCCAGGATTTGCAGTTCACGTTCGCCTCACTGAGTATCAAAACGATTTTATTCATTGATTTTGACTCGTCATCCCTCAAATTTCATCTGTGTGCACGATTTCCGATCGATTCAGCCAACCATGCAGTTGAGAAACACTGAACTTGGTGAGTTTTCTTCAAAGTTCATTAGTAGTGCACATAAATCAACTGGTACAGGCTTTGAACCGCGGACCAACTTCAAGAACGGCGTGCCAGCTCATTGCGGGATTGATCAAGGTTATTGAGCTCAGTTTCATCAGATGAAATCGTTTGAGATGGTCCATCAGTTAATTTAAAAATAAAAACGCACTGAAACGCTTCAGTTTACAAGACTATCGTAATGTTCGAATAAATGATAGGACATGAATCGATTTGAACGTCAGCTCAGTGGGCACGCGATGCGACAGTCCCTGAGCGGAAACCGCAACGACCCAGTAACTGAGTGGTTATAACACGAACAAGCCGAAACTGCGGTCCCCAGCACAGTTGCCGAGCGAAACGGAAGAATACCCATCCAGAGAGAAAATGGAGGATAGGCCTCCAGGTGAGGCTATAAATTTGGCTGAGGACAAATCATCTGTTTCCACACCGGTTAGAGAACGACCAGCAATGACCTTGAAGATAGGCTCGAGAGTACAGAGTTCTGAAAAAATGGGCCAATCGGGATCAACCATGACCGGGGGTGTGGAGTGAAGCTTTACCGGAGCGAAATTTCGGAAATTCAAATTTTATAAAAAGAATTGGTAAAATAGAAACACAAAAGGGTAAATAGCCAATTCATGGGAAAGGAAATTATATCCTCTATCAAATGTCAATCGGTTATTGGATTTTGGTGCGTTTCCTCCAATTTAATAATCAGTCATATAAAGTTGGGAAATTAAATGTGTGTCAACGTTCATGTGGGAATAGGGGGCATTATGGCACTGCACTCTCGTGCACGAACAACTGTAAAAAACACGTTTATTGTAATCCGATATTCCCACATGCAGATACGCGATGGAAAACAATAAAGGCGAAAATAAACTCCGCAGTAGTCACTATTATTGGCTCAATTTCTGCCAATCTTCGGTAAATCATCATACATCATCGAAAAATACTGGAGCTCCTCTGATCGTTATGTTGGGCAAGAAACGTGTGTCACAAATAACGAAAGCTAGAGCAGCTTATGCAAACATGAAACACTTGAGGCGTCCCCATGACATCCGACTGTTTCTTATGGGGAGGGTGTATACCGTTGCGGTTCGTAGTGTTTTACTTTACGGTTGCAATACCTGACCTCTCCGCTTTGAGGATGTCAATCGATTTTCTGTATTGGACCACTGATATCTCCGAAGCATTGCTCGTGTCTGATGGGTTTCATCGGATGAGCAATGATGAGATTCGTCGTCTAGTGCTGGGTATGGATGGTCGCTCTCTAAAAGAAGATTTCGCTCTCCGATGGTTCCGTCACCTTTTTGCTTATGTCTGCCCATCGTCAAAATATTCGTGTTTTCTTTGCAATATTATGGGCAAGGCTATTAGGAGTGTTGCCGCGGTCAGGTCATGACATGGCGTAGAGGTATGAAGAAGCTGTCTTCGGTTTTGGCTTCGGTTGGTACAGCCTGCTTTCCAGGTTGGAACCTAAGGGATAAGGGATTCTCGTTAGTTAGAGACGGTCAGAGATATGACCCAGAGTAGAAATCAGTTTCGCGAATGCTGTACAATCAGTTTACCTTTTGAAATCCCGTGCCCCGTAAAAAAATGATAAACCAGCGCACACAAAAATTCCAAAAAGTGTACGGTGAAACACTCATTCGCTATAGGTGATAGTCAGAACGCGGTAACCGAGGTCACCGTTGCGATAAAGTTTTCCAAAAGTAACACGGAGCATTTGATATAAACAACGACCTATTTGACTGGTCCGGAATCACCAAACTTTTCTGGGGGTAGAATCCACAACCAAGACCACCAAAAGTGCCTGGTAACTTTGGCAAATACCAAGGGTTGTTACAATTCTTTGTTAACATAAATTAAATTACAATTTAGCGTTTGGGGAAAGTTGTTATCTGTTCATCCACAAATGTCTTAATCGATTTGAGTTAGCATTTTATTTCAGTGATTGTGTATATTTTTCACATCCTATTGAATACCGGAATATTTAAGAAATCTTTCGTGGCGGCGTTATCGATTGCATAAATATTCTGCCACATATCGGATTTGATTTCGTTGTTGTTGTTTTTTCAATCAGGATAGTCCCCAGTACTAGCTAGATGCATGCATTGTTCCTATTTTGATGTCGCTTTACGCCCATATATGAAACGAGCCTTGTCACGTGAGCTTTCATGAACTGATGCACGATCATTCTTTGTTTGTATACACTTTCCATTTTCTATTACACACCAGTGTGGGATGAACAGCAGACGGGGAAAGTTTTCTGGTCACAAGGACCTGCTCTGTTCAGTAATGGAAACCGGTAACCCAAGTCCTGCGGCTTGGATTGGCGAACCACACATAATGCCCCTCTATTGTTAGACGAGATCTTAAGCCGGACGATAGCAAAGTTGCCCATCACCAAATTTGGGTGGTGGTGGTGGGAGCGCGGGGAGGGGCTTTGAATCTCAGATCATTGGGTTCAAAGCACACCGGTGACAGCGACTCCACGGCACAACCACCACTTAACATTAACCCTATTAGTTTTTCTGATTTCGAAAATATCATTCAACAAGAAGATGTCTCACTGAAGTACACATCCATTGATCACTAGCCCGTTGTCAAAGGATATGGACTATCTGAAAATGGCCTTTTCTCCGTGTTTCCACCAATCTCTACTCGCGGGCCAATCTAATACTGGTTCCGACTCCACTCCAAGGAGAAGCAGGAAAGACGGACAGTTCAACCGGCGTATTCTGAGGCCGGCAATCTCAATTTGAATCATACGATAGGTAATGAACTTATGCGTCTCAATTTCACATTAAAATCCTGATGAGTTGAAGTGCAAGATGCAATGAATGGGACAAAGGTATGTATTGTTCTTGAATAAAGTCATCTTTTGAGAGTTTTGTGTCTCGACGTACGTCTATGTTCCATGGATAGGTTCTGTGATGAGTAGGTAGAAAACGAAAAACGGTCAACTGTGTATAAATGGGAGAAGATGCGTTGAAGTTCACATGTAACGTACTAATTACGCACACAAATAAAAGGATTCTCCATTCTGAAGTGTGTCAGATGAAAGGAAACATCAAGGTTTATTATCAGCCAATATAGTCAAAGACGTTCGAGAATTTTGACTGCGGGATATTCCCTATTGTCAGTCTGGGGCTCTCGAGCCTGGATCAATTATAACCACGTGGCTCTGGGTAGAATTTACATCACCATTCTGGGACCTATCACGCATTGTTTGTATCGCGTGATGACTTGCAAAAATCCATGAAATTGGGACGAAATTTCCGAAATAATGGCTGAAAGCACCGATGATATATGTATACATATTTCACATACGTCTGACGCGAGACTATGTGCCAAACAAATCACGGTACAATAATCTTTGTAAAAAAGAACAACGTTCCACAATTTGCATGTGGGCCGAATACTGCCAGGTAAGTGGATTTTCTTAAAGAATCCACAACCGGAGTCCTCGGTTAGCCAAAGCCTGACCCGTAAGGCAACGGGGTGGTGTGTGAAAACTGCAGTCCATTTGGGAGCCGGTGTCCAGTTCATCCGATCATACGCCCTTTGGATGGGGTCAAACGTCCAAGATGCTCAACACAGCTCGATGCCCATTGTCATAAGCAAAAAGGTGTTGGTGTGGTTCGTACGCCTCCTCTTTTTTGGTTTGGTATCAGGGGTTTTTGTCAAACTCTCCTAAACGAACTATCAGTGGTTCACGGACCCGATTATAGCCCCGGATGTCGGCTCTACGTTACCTAAATTTGGTGAAAATTTAAAATCTTCATCATGATAAGATCTTTGAAAGTAATAGGACCGATATATCTGAAACGAAAATTCCTCTGAGAATGTGCGACTAATGGTTCGTGCTGAATATGAAGGTGATTTTTCTGGGGCAACGCTGGGCTGGGGGAGGGGTACTGCATTTTACGAGCCAAGAATGAAAAAGGACAAGATTCTTTCTAGTCGGATTAGTGCGGAACAATATGCACAATTTGATTCATTCTGCGGGTAGCAATTGTACTTACCCGGTGGACCGTACAACAACAGGCCTTTCCATGGTGATAGAATTCCGGCAAACAATTGAGGATACTACGGGGTAAGAAAAGAGATTGATTGATTGATCGCTATTGTGGTGTTCACGGTTTTAACTGTTATTGTGTGTCAACAAAAACCAACCAATTCTGTTCAACAGATGCACAGAGTTAAAGTTAAACCTCGTGAATACCGCCACCCGATCGTTCAATGGCAACATTACATGAGGCGTTATTTTTAGTGAAGTTTACCCGCAAACCTTATCTGTCTTTTTAACATTTCCGAAGTGCAACCGGTTAACTTTACGTTAGCCAATGTTGTACAGCAATGGCCCACATATCTTTGACGAACTAAATTCCCTCTTACACTCAAATATTCTACTTGGTACAAGCAGTGAAAGCATTTTGCTGTACGGGAACATGAGTGAGGACAAAGAAGATCCGGGTGACCTATTTGAGAGAGAGAGAGAGACAGTGTGTGTGTGTGTGTATGTGTGAGTTCATGCAACCAGTAAATGGGTTCACCAAGGTCACAGATATCAACCATTCAGTGAATGGTGTTGAGTCATTCTCGTGGCCGACTTTAACTTCACTGAAGCCATCTTTCAGCACCTGTTCTATGAATAATTACGACTGGAGGTCGTCGCATACCGGTCAATGAGATCGTTTGCGATAAAAGAGGGCAGAGTATCCACAATAAGGAACAACGACTTAATGGCTGGGCAGAGTATTTTAGTGAACAGTTCAGTTGGCCCAGTGTTAATATGGTCATTCCAGCGATTGCGGCGGAAACCCCATAAGTGGTAACATGTAATCCCTCATCGGAATCGAAGATACGAAGCTACATTCAGTCACTAAAGAACAGAAAGGCTGCGGGACCTGATGGGCTTCTCCCTATTCTTTTGAAGGTAGGCGGTAATTCTCTTGTCAATTACTAGCTTACTTCACAGCATTTGGTCGGAGGAGCGCATCCGTTTGTCCTGGGGTGAATCGTTGATCGTCCCTATTTTCAAGAAGGGATCACGTAACGAGTGCGCTAACCACTGTGGGATTCGTTTAGTTCCGATAATAACAAAAGTGTCGACCTCGGTGATACTTCGTCGCCGGACATCCTTAAGAGAGAAGAACATCCGCGAACAACAAGCCGGATTCTGACCAGGTCGCGGGNCGCGGGTGCATCGACCAAATCTTCACTCTGCGTCAAGTCCTCGAACTGCGTCACACACATCATCGGCAAAAAAATCTCAGTGTTCCTTGACTTAAAAAAAGCTTTCGATTCAGTTAACCATGAAGCTCTTCTGGAGTCGCTGCTTCGCAAAGGAATGCTGCATCTAAATCTATTGCGGTTGCTGTAACTGTATACTTCTGGTAGCGTAATGGTCTACGGTGTGCTAAGTGAATCGTTCGAAACCAGGAACGGTGTTCATCAAGAGTGCTCTATTTCGACATTCCTATTCAATTTCATCGTAGACAAAGTACTGGAGAAAGCACCTAGTGGTCTCCAAAACGTAGGTATTGAATGGACAGCTAGAGAAAGCTGTGCGATATAGAGTACGCTGAGGACATCGTATGTCTGTTTGAATCTATGGAGGATGCGCATCGCGTTCCTGACAAACTTGCAAGCTCTGTAACTCTTTTCGGCATGCGCTTTGCACCTTCAAAGTACAAAGTGATGCTACCAGACTGGGTGTCGTCTACCCCAGTGCTGATACTTGATGGTCAAGAATTAGCTGTGCTTGAATGTTTCACCTAAGTCTATGAAGTAACCACCCGCATTTCCAAGGTCCGAGCAGCTCAAGTAGGACTAAAACACCCTGGGTGCAGATGTGATGTTTTGTTGAAACTGAAAGGTTGTGTATACTGCTCCAGTGTGCGATCAGTTCTGCTGTATAGTGGCGAGACCGTGAATAAGCGCGTGGAAGATATTCTTCGTCTAGAAGTATTCGACTGCAGATGTTTACATAGCTTGACTCGGGTTGGATGGAGCGAGCTTGTAAGCAACTCTGAGGTGAGGCGCCGCGTATTTGGCAATGATTTGATAGAGAATTTGTTGTCTCATCCAACTCAGATTAGTCGGCTTCAGTGGTTAAGACACATACTGCGCATGCCCAGCGATCGTCTCCCGCACCGCGCCTTATTCGCAGTTGCGGCCTCGGGTTGGAAGAAGTCACGTGGAGGACAACAGATGACGTGGCAGTGAGGCATGAAGAAATGCACAGAACGATTATGTAAAATCGGTATCTCCCGTGTTCCAGGTTGGGGTCCGAAAGATTCTACAACTGGCTGGCTGAAGACATTGAAGGATATGGCGACTAACCGACAGCAGTCGTGTACTTGTTGTCGTTTCTTATCAAGTCACAATGTTTGGAATGTATGTATATCAAGTTTGCTTCACTGTGTCTCGCTTTACGATAATGATGATGATGGTGACGATGATGATGATTTGAACTCTTGTTCTGTCATTCAAACACTGGCGCGATTAATACTCGGACAAACCCACTGTGTTTTTAATCAACACTTGCTCTTCTCCATGAGAATAGCGACCGGCAAGACCTCGAAAAGTTATTTATTTATCATTTTATTTATTATTATTTATTATTTTTATTATTTATTTATCTTTTCAGCGAGGTGACGTTTATGGACCGATGCGACACGAGGGTTTGTTTACGATACATTGTTTGGCAGACAATAGAAGACAATAGCTTTGTGGTTTTATTTTGTGACGAGGCTAGTAAGCTCGGGGTTGGTACTTGAACCCATGCATTAGCGCCACGCACGTGAATAACACATTTGTCGTTTCAAAAGTGGCGATTTCATCCAGGTTGCAATATTTTCGAGGTAATATATTAGCCACATTTGACAAAACCCGTTCGCAGCGATTGTGAACATCTGCGAAGCAATGTGATGATCTAAGAATTATTTCCTGTGAACATTCATTCCCGTGAAATGTTTAAAATTCTATCTACCACCTTGTAGTCAGTTTTCATGCACTATTATCTACTCTTGTTTCGAACAAGCTGCCCCATTTAACACTGGATATTTCATTCTGATCTCGGTAGGACCTGTGAACAGAGTGGTCGTTCCGTACTAAAATTATGAATGAAACCACAAAAACTGAAACTACGATCTGACACTGGACATATCATTGTGTCTTTCACATAACGTTAGCAAGCACTGAAGCTTAAATTTCATAGTCCCAGGGTTATGACCACGTTCACTTGTCAACCTTACTTTGTTTGTGAATAAACGTGCAAGATAGCGAGATCGGTAAACGTGTATACGAGATGACATTCGACAGAATGCAGGGTGTGTGCGAATGAATGGAAACGACAATGGGACAGTTCTGCGTACAGTGGGAGGTCAAGACCTGTAAGGATCCTCTCTTCGCAAAGTTCACACAGGAAGTTCTATGGTAATGTGATAGTTTCACAGTTAACTGGTTAACAGGACTATACTGCGCTACACAGTTCTCACCTACTAATGATACCCTACAGAAAGGTTTGAGCTGGATTTGAGTAACGAAGGGAAATCTATGGAACACCGGACTTACATTAATCTCCCCAGAATCGTATTACGCGGGTTGGTAGGCATTCTAGCCATTTTAATTGCCTAAGACCATTCAAAAGCAAATCGGCAATTTTTTATTCCAATATGTACTTTGAAGAGGGAGGCAGGAACAGAGTTTGAGCTCACTTTAATCGGATAGACCACAGCTTCTTTGACCAGTCGTTTGGCCGAACTCAACCCGATAATATCATCCCATCGAACATCCGGATTCTGCAGGAATATTTCCTGTATACAAAGTTAGAGAAAGCACACACACACGCATGAGTGAGGCAGACAGGAACATTCGCCTGTCAGTAAGTGACGGATAGAATCATGTTTATCAGGGCGTTATTAATTGCTGATGAAGCTAAAACATGAAGGACTGTAAAATATCCTGAAGATTATCAAACCTTGCAGGAAACTCTCGACGCAGCTTATCAATGATCCATCATTAATGACATCGAATTCAACGTTGAAAAATGCAAGGTTATATCGCTGCTCCACAGAGGTCACTATCCATACTTGCCGAGTTCTCCAAACGAAAAAGATCCGGGAGTCATCGTTTGTGAGGATCTAGGATGTTCTACACATTGCGCAAGAGCGTCTTCAAAGGCTATAAAACACGTTAAATTGCTAAAACATGTCTTTGGATCATTCGAAACAGACCTATTGCCCCGTTTATTATCGGCATACATTAGACCACACACCGGGTATGCTATACAGGCTTGGAATCCATGGCTGATTCGCGACCCAAAGGCACTAGAACGTCCGCAGAGAACAGTAACCAAAATGGTCAAAGGGTTACAATCTAAGAACTACGGTGAAAGACTGCGAAGTCTCGGAAACTACTCGTCTGAATACCGTCGAATACGCGGAGACATTATCCTCGTTTATCCAATACTACACCAATTTACCCACCCGTTTAGTACTCTGGTGACGCTGTCCAGGAATGTTCACCTCCGAGGACATCCGTTTAAACTTCTGCTCCAGAAGAGCCGGCTCGACTGCAGGCGTCACTCTTTCAGCCTCATAGTTTGTAACACCTGGAACTCTCTTCCATCACCAACCATCCATCTATTCAAATCACGACTGGATGAAGCATTGAACCACCTAACTATTCAGTACCCGTAAGTAAACATCAGAATTTGTTATTCAATTATACGATCAAATGAACGCTGCGGGTATACAGATCCTATGGGCTTAACTAAGCATCGGCTTTGTAATTTACCCATAATAAAAATTTGAATTTGAATTTGAATTGGTTGGTTAAACTCACTTACTCTGGATATTGTCAGGGCTAGTTCACGCCATTCACCCGTATGGCCAGCNTTCAATAATCGTTCCTGCCACGACGGGGTGGGGGGTGGGGGGAAACAAATCGAAAGTAACTCGAGGCAGAAAATTGGAACTGAGAGGATGCAGAAGGATACAGCAGCCACGTGTAAATGTTTTGATGACCTCGTGAAATAATTTGGTCTCATTTATTTTGAAAATCACCTCAATTAACACAGAAGGAAAGATCATTCGCATCCAACTCACAGTAATTCAATTGAAAGCCTCCCACCCAATCAGGTCTTTCATGCAGGTTAAGAGTTGACTTGCCACAAACCTACTAGGCCGGATTGATACTTCGCATCTGACTCAGTTATTCGTGAGTAGTGGTTACAGCAGTGGTAACACACACACGCCTCCCATTCAATGGGTTCGTAGTTCAAAAACCGGAAGGGACAGGGAATATGCACTACCGATAAGCTCTAATGGAGGTGAAACTCGAGTCTAGTACTTAGAAGTGTGCTGTATCAACTGAGGATTGTGTAAAGGTGAAGTCTGAAGGACGGACAGTTCAGATCAAGAAAATATCTTCAGAAAGATGTCTCGATACACTTTGCTCTTCGACGAGGGAAACTGATATCCAGTGCAATTGCACCGCATTTGTTAGACCCAACACGTTAAGAACTATTACGAGACTCCAATTTTCACGAACTTCTCCCACCATCAGGGGGAAGCCCCAGGTGCCCCGCTCCTACGTCCATCTAGCGGGGCTTTTTGACCGGTAAACTGCCCCTCATTGTGTTTATTTACTGAGTGACCCCTCGAGGGGCGACAGGGGATAGGTAAAGGAATACAGGAGGCTCCCAAGCAGCTAAATTTGAGAGACTGAGCTTTATCTGGCCTCCATACATTGACCTTGTANGACAGGATTTGATCTACCGCTGTAAAACACAATCCCGTTTGGCTCGTAGGGTCATAGAGGCATGCAAGCCATCACAATACGTCAAGGTGCAGTATGGCCGTGATGGAGTAATCAAATCAACAATGCTGATTGATATCGGGCGTTTGATTACTGGTCAGTGTCTTCACATATAGCAGATTTTACGGATGTAGATCCGTTTCAAATGGCTCTGGATAGGCTAACATCGAAAGCCCAAATGAAATGTAGACATTAATGGAAGCCTGTCTGAGGGTGGCTTTATTAGTGAAGTAAATGGAAAAATAGTGGAAACTATCTGACCACCAAAATCAATTTC